AGCACCGGCCATCTCATACTCCGACAAGCCATGCACCGACTCGAGCCCGGAACTGGTGCCGCCTGGCGCAAAGTCAACCGACCCGCCGGGTTCGGGCAGGTCGACCGGCATCACTTCTGCCAGTCTGGCCTCGGCGGCCTCGGCCAGGTCGACCGAGTGGAAACAGGCGATAAAGTTGGCATTCGAGGGGGGTGGTGAAGGTGTGATGAGATGGAAAGACTGTCGACAGGAGAGAAGCAATGGGAGTGGAGGAAAAGTGTGTCATGGGTGTGATTTGGTTGGTTGTGAAAAGCACGCTTGTGACCGGAACTTTGGTTGGGACACGATGCGAATGTCGGTGGTGATGCTGGTGGTTGGGGTGGGTGTGATGTTGGCTGTACAGTGAGGGTGGGGGCAAGTGGGACGGGGCGAAACAGTGTGGACGGAGGAGTTGGTGGGAAGAGAAGGCGGTGTGCGAAGAAAAAGTGAATTTCAAGGAGTCTTTTGTTGTGCCAGTTTCGATGCAATTAAATAAATATTACAGACTGGCTGCACCATCTGGGCGCTTCGATTAGCCATGTTCTACTTAGTTTTATCACATTTAATTAATTGTATTTTGGTTCTCCGACCCTCTCGACATTGAAATGGAACTAAAAAATAGGCGTCTTGCAAAAGGATTTACCAATTGCGACCACATAAGGGAGCAGAATTCACACCGATTTTTCCATATAATCACTAATTCCCCAAGGCTGCCATTAAATTACAATGTATTTATAATGGGTATAGTGTCGGCACTTTTTAATCATTTGGATGATTGTACTAACTTAACACCCGAACCAATCGTCGCGAAAACAAGTTGGCTTTCGAGGAATCTCCCACTTCTATTCCGAGGAAAAGTGTTTGATGGAAAGAGTGCAAGGTGGATCGCACCATAAGACCACGGCACTCGCTGATGATGCCGACTACGATGCCGGCGCAACGTTTGAGAAAGTACCAAGTCCACTGCCTGGTGCTGGGAGTCATGACAACTACTATGGCAGACGAATTCGGACCAGGTGCGTTTAACTAATTCGCCCTGACAACAAGAGCAAGTTACGATAACGAGTTAAACCCACTTCTATCAATGCTAAAGTTTTGCACAGCATGAGATTATGATGAATTAAAAGCAATTAACTTTACTGCCATACAATTATGATTGGCTTTAATCCAAGGCCTCAATAACGTTTAACGATATCTTCTCGTAAATGTTATGCTGGCAATCATTTTGTGTGATTTTTAGAGGAGGACCGACTCGGCTTTCTTCCGCGGAAATAACCAGAGCTTGCAAAAGCTTCAAGTTAACCCCAGGTCAAGAAGACTAATAGACTAGCTTAAATGACTTTTCTTGACTCGTTAGCCTAAATTTGGTTGTGACGATGATACCTTCCCTGCTCTGATGATGTCCGTCATATGACGGACGAAAGCTTAGCACCTTTTCACAGAAATCGAAGCATATTACCTCGGAAACAATGTCAACATGAATCTTCCAGTAAATTCAATCGACAGCTGGTCAAGAGGAATCGGCCGTCGTCTTCTGGTGGAACTGACATGCGAATCTCTTCATCCAACACTCGC